TTTGATTTTCGCCTACAATTTCGTACAAAATTTTTGCAATGAACAGATCATCCGCCTCGAGGAGGAATATGTCTGCCTAGCCCACTCCCACGATCCAACGGAGCTTGAGTAAGGTTACCATCCCCAGACAAAGATGGGAAGGAGAGTGTCAGAGAGACAAGGACGGAAGATAAATAATTGCGAGGGCAAAATTTGGGTTAAAGTCAACTGTAGTCTTTATACTTTACAAAAATATTCATTACCATCCCTTTACTAAGAAAATGTTCAATTTCATCCCTCAACTTTTCTTACACCATAAATGTCATCCCTCTACTATCCTTTTTTTTGTTCAATGTCATCCTTAATTGGATGCCATCCATTTTACTGTTAACTTTGACCGTTAATTACCTCATGGTCAAATATTCAAGTTTTATTTATGAATTTTCTAAAAGCACATATTATGATACTTTTTTTGTAATAAATTTGTATAAAAAAATATAAAAGTAAATATTAATTTTAGTGTCATTGTCACGTATAAATTTAATTAGACAGTTGATAAATTAAATATTACTTTTTATTTTTTAAAAACTTTTAATCAGTACCTTAAAAATATAAATTAAAATAACCCTTAAGACACAAATTAAAATAACCATTTGTTTATTAATTTTTTTATCCACCTAGTGAGACTAGTGGGACCAATTTCTTTATTTTTTTTGGTTCTGTATTATTCTTTCTAGCTTTAGCACCTAAATTAACGGAATCCGTTAATTCTCTGTTAAAATTGGAATAAATTAATTATAAAATTAATTATTAAAAATAAAAAATCTAACAATTTAATTCTAAAAGTTCAAAAATTATAAAAATTAGTAAATTAAAAAGAATTAAAAGATGATTTTTTCACATATACTAAAACATATACTAAAATAGTATTAGATATTTATAATCAAATCGAGTGATTAGTTTAATTTGGAAAAAGAATTTTGATTGAAATTAAGGAAAATTTCTTAATTCAATTAAGATAGAAAATTTAAAAAACTAGAAAAATATAATCAAGAAATTTTTTTTAATCTTAATTAGATTTCTTTAGTTAAATTGAGTTAATCATTCGATTTAATTGTAAATATCTAACATTATTTTCATATATATGATAAAGTTATCTACTAATTATTTTTAAGTTATTAATTTTTTTATTTTTTAAACTTTTGAAATTAAATTGTTATATTTTTAATTTTTGATAATTGGTCTTATAAATATTTTTTTATTTTAATAAAGAGTTAACAAATTCTGTTAATGGATAAAAGATTAATTAATAGAAGTTAACTTGTGCTATATATCTCGGGTCCGTCCAATGCAAATAATTTTCTATTGTATTGCTTTAATCAGTGACAAAGGAAAAATGCTCAAGTCTAGATGTTAGACAATTTTGTGAAAATTAAGAAACAAAGGATTATTTTAATTTTTGTTTTAAGGGTTATTTTAATTTGTATTTTTTGGATATCGGTTAAAAGTTTTAAAAAATAAAAAGTAATATTTAATTTGTCAATTATTTAATTAAATTTATTTACATAATAATGACACTAAAATTAATGTTTACTTTTATATTTTCTTATATAAATTTATTATAAAAAAGTATCATTAATATATGCTTTTAAAAAAATTCATAAACAAAAGTTGAATATTTGACCATATAACGGTCAAGGTTAAAAGTTAACAGCAAAATGAATGGCATCCAATTAAGGATGACATTGAACAAAAAAAAGATCGTAGAGGGATGACATTTATGGTGTAAGAAAAGTAGAGGGATGACATTGAACATTTCCTCCGTAGAGGGATAGTAATGAACATTTTTACAAAGTAAGAGGACTACAATTGGCTTTAACCCTTTTGTTTTTCTTTTGTTATTATCGTGACATATCATCCGCTTCGAGGAGGAATAATTATGCCTACCCCACTCCCAGGATCCAACGGGGCTGGAGTAAGGTTATCATCCCCAGACAAAGATGGAAGGACAGTGTCAGAGAGACAACGACGGAAGATAATAATTGCCAGGGCAAAACTTTTTACTAAGCCTTTAAATTTACGTTTGTTTTTAAATTTTTATTAAAATAAATAAATAATTAAATTTAATAATTTAAGTAATTTAATTTTTTTATAAATTTAAGATTTATTTATATTTTTTATAAATAAATTATCGATACATCATTGTTTATAAGTTAAGTATTGATTTTATCTATATAA